TGTGTGCCCACTAGAACCCAAACGTGCACGGTTTTGAATCGCACGCATCAACACTATGCCACAAACACTCATTCACAGCACATTCAATTGAACGGAAATCCACTTACCGATGCAGGTCTTCTCAATGATGGTTCATTGCGGCTGGGCAAACAGTGTCAAGTTACCTGGTTGCCTAACAAATATCAATCGGTTTTTACTGAGCTTTCAAGGCTTTCCGGTTTTGTGTGGCAAGTTGAACTTCTATGACGAACAGAATTTCAGATAAGAATACTCAAACACTTAAATATTTTGAAAAAGCTCCTAGTTCACGATGGTTCAGCAATGTATTTATCAATTACAACGAGTTGCAACGGTAACCATCTCGAATAAATGGATAGGTTGGTATTCACTTTTGTCCAAATGTTATGATTGTTGGCATGTAAAAATTATTTGAAAATTCGTTGACGTGCTTGAAATTTTCCTATTCATCTCGTTGGTCTTCTTCACTGTTTATCCGTTCTCCACCTTATTCTGATCACATTATCAGGACAAGGAAGCGGGCAATAAAAGGTGTAAACAAAAAGGATTGGAGCACAGGTTAAATCACTCGATCTCGAGTGGCCAGTCGCTGGACTCTAGGGTAGAAGATTGACGCAACCATTTCGGGTAGTCAATACACCAAGAAGGCAAATGCTGTCATGATTTTGAATCTTCACTTTCTCTACTCAATCGCTTGCTTAAAACAATAATAAATTTGTATTGTGAACAACGAGTTAGGGGAGGATGTGTATGAATAATGAACTGATGTCATGACCTTGGTAAACTAACCATCAATATTCAACTACTTTGTAAACAGTACACCGGATTATGAGATCATGAGATCGGTGGGGTTTCATCTGATACCCGCAGCTACAGTTTAGGATAAGGTTAAATCGGCTCACAGTCGATGAACCAGGATTTCGTTCGGGATATCCGTTGATTCGTTTAGCTATTTGGGGATATATTATGACATCCGTTGTGGTATTCCTCCATTTGTTCTACGGACAAAAAGGATACAAACGCAACAGTGGGATTACTAAATGAGAATGTGACATGCAACCAAGCTCATTGTTATCTATCGGATAATCCTTCGAGTGAATAGCTGGATGTCAAAATGTGCCTGGGAGCATGTCCAGCTGAATTTGAATGCATTGTCCTTTTTTGTCCTATCAAACATAGAACCTAAATTCAACTTAAATACTCAAAACCGTGTTTAACACTTCAGCAAGAGTTTTTCACCACACATTTTCTGTGAATTAACGTTTGTGAATAAAACACTACTGTCACTATCCTCTTGGATTCGATCAGGATATGGATTAGAGAATACTGTCATCACGCAGTGTACAGTCCACTACAGAAAATGTTGCGCAGTAGTCATTTTATATCAAACAGAATTAATGTATCATTTAGTATTGGAATATTCTGGGGCTGTGGTAAACCGCTGGCACAAGTCCAGTCAATTAGGACGTATTCGGAGTCAGATAAAACAAACAGTGAGTCTCATAACAACACGCCATTCTCCAATCTGAGATTGGCCTTATTTCAAAAACTCCCGGACAGTTTGGAGTCAGTGTCTTGAGTTGGTCCAGATAGGTGCGTTTCAAAATGGCAAATCTGCATGACATTGGGGATGTTTTTCATTTCACACTTTTAGTGTGATGAACAGTACACCTCACAGTGATGATGGAAACCAGTAACCGGGACTTGGAGTGGTTAATCACATAAGGCCCTCTAGGTTAGGCGTCGTATTAGGCCGGACGACAGCAAAGCTGCCTACCACCGAATTTGGGTGGCAGTGTCGGGGCTCGAACATCGAACAAGAAGTCTAAACACACACCTGTGACAGCGACAAACCACGGTAAAAGTATCAAACATGCCACCAGTCCTAAGTCTGTTCTAGTAGTAGCTACTCAGATATACTAAGTGAACGGACATGATGCATTCTCGCAAATCGAATAGGTGGCAAGCTGTTCCAACAGTTTTAACCAATCATACTAGGAAAATGGACAACACACTATACCTCCCCTCAGTTTGCTTTCAATGTAAATATACATTAGCGTGGTACGATTTAATGATTTCATCGTAAATTATAAAACTTTTTTCGTTGATCATTCAATTTTTTCACCTTATTTCTCTCATTTTGTTGCACGCATTCGTTTGCCCCGCTATGCTCATACTACAAATACACACTGCCTCTCTTTTGTGTTTTGTTCTCGCACGGTTGGATGCATATCCAGGAAATTCTACTCTATCTGTTGGATCATTTCAAGCGGGTAACGAACAACAGCGATCTGAACAAAATGAATACACACAATCTAGCCACCTGTTTGGCTCCGGTACTATTCTACCCGGCTCCGAATGCTGCCCGAACCCTGGACCCGGCCATTCTCGAGCCACGACGTATGACGGATATTTTGAAATTTATTTTAGAAATCTGGCCTGATGAACGCTCAACATTCGGCCAATTCACCACGGTGGACAGTTGGACCCCAGCCAACCAACTAACTTTAAAAGAACAAGAGCAGCAGCTACAACAACAGCAACAGCATCAGCAACAGCAACAACACTCGCAAAGACAGTACGAGAATCAGTGGATTGACTATCCGTTTTTTCATCGCGGTGGTAGTCGACCAAAGCAATC